GGTTGATTTTGGATGTGAGCCTTATTGAAGTGTCAGGTAACCAGATATTTTTTTCTGGTGTCAGAGAAAGGTCTTTGTAGCGTTCAAGTGGTCATGCCTCGTCCACCGTTTTCCTAACGTCTTCCATCCACGGGCCGCTTTATAAATACGCCGCACTCCCTCTTTCTGCGCACCATCCATTTTCGGCGTCAGTGCTCGAACCACTACAATTTATGTTGACAAAAGCAGCACAAATAAGCACCGGTTCAATCGTCGGTGACAGCAGCGCATAGGGGAAGTTTTTTCCTCATCATCCATAGGGATTGTTACGTCATATTGACCATAATTGTCAGTGAGAGATTTAATAGAGATTTAATATATTTAATATATCTTCGCTGTCTAGGATCTTAATGCTGTGCGATCCATGATCTCTCAAGGGAAGTCCCAGTAGGCAGATACTACCTACCCTACTGTGTTAGCACTCGAATGATTAGACTCTCTGTTGCCTCTACAAGGAGTGTTCTTACGCTATAGTTCTCCCGATACAACAAGCTTACCTACTTACGATCCTACCGACTGGCTGAGGTCCAGACGCAGCTGAAATCCAGATTCATGATATAGGGAGTTTGTGTGCGTCTAGTTCTCTAATCCACAACTTATCCCTTAGACAGAGGCGCCTCCCACAAAGCAGTAGAGATGGGGTAGAGTTACTAAATGGCAATTCCTGATGCTGTCTTTAGACATTAAATGTCAATGAGAATTCATAGCGTCAGACTAATTAAACTCTTCACCTAATGACCGCGTCTTTTTCCGGTCTATTCTTATACTCCTTAACATGGTGCTGTCATCAGTCTGTGGCATTTTTGTGCTGTTGGTAGGACAGATGTTAATCTTCCGTATTTGCCGGCACTTTCGCTGTCGATTCGCTAAGTTCGACAGCCTACTTCGCAGCTTGATTTCCCCCGAAGACCCCTGCCCCCCCATCCACGGAAGTGCTGGGCTAGCCGGCAGGCCCCATCTGCATGAGGTCCCTTTATTCCTGTGCCCAACCTTGGCCTAGGATCCTTTGAACTAAACCATTATCAATGAATTTGAAGTCCCATTCTCTACCAATAGACTATGGATTTACGCCTTGGCGGTCGAAATCGAGGCTATTAATACTTAGACACGATGGCGTCCACCTGTTTGACTTTTTAGTCCAGAAATCTGTCTATAAATGTTAATAATGGCGCTATGTGATTGCCACATCGAATGTAAGCAGACTCGCCTTGTTTTCCTACGCTTCAATTATGTCTGTTTGCTTGGTTTGCTAAACATTCTTTACTTTTGTCACGTAAATGGATCCTTTCATGAAAAAGAGGAAAAAAGTATCCTCAGGTCTCCGTGTTTGGCTGCGAAGTTTGACACGGAGTAAAGTAATTTAGGGATACCAACGACGCAGTCTTCATGAGTTAATCAGCCTATGTTTTGTACTGCTGTGACATGCTAATCGCAAGATTAAACCTCGCTGATGTGAATTTGTGATTGGTTTGATGCAGCAGTTGCCCCTAAACGGCATGATTTCGATGAGCATTATAAAAGACGTTGACACGAAAAAAAAACTGTTTACAGTGGTAGTCAACTATTTTAACTTTAGTACAGGATTACAATTTTCTCCACGTTTCAAGTCGTTCTGATTTGAATGAACTATGCTCATAATACCCTCTTTTGAGTGTTATTTCTGCTGAATGTTTCGCCCGAAGTGACAGTAGGTTTTTAAATCGTACTTTTTAAAGCCAAAATAAGAATTATGATTTATAATGGTGAAACCAGTCTGGTTCCTTTACTGGTAAATGATAAGAAATATTTAAGACGTTGCCATTGAATTTCATAATTTTAAGTAATTGCAGATGATTTATTGGGTAAGGCCTTTGCCAATAAATGGAGAACACCATGGATGTTTAGTCCGTGAGTCACAAAGAATTTCCTCAGACTAAGCACCCCAAACAGGATAGTTCTCCCTTACTGTCCAATGTATTCTTTTTCTATCGTATATTTCTATTGATTATTGTCTTTATTCACTTACCTTTCTTTGGACTATGCATATACTGTGCATGCAGATCCTCATCCTTGTTTTTTTGCTTAGGTTAACAGTCTATAAGTAAAATTACCTCAGAATAGGTATCACATAAAACATTGACTTCAACATTTTCAGCAGTTGGATAGCATGTTCTTTGTATATGTTCCACTAAATTTGCTTTTATAATCAAAGTACTCGTGTTGGGGGCTTAACAGGACGAAGGCAATTAACTGCCTGTAGCTCTCGAGCAGAAGGAAGATGGGGGAGCGAATCGTGTGTTTGACTGATGCACTAGTGATTTCACTGCCTCTTGCCGGAAGTGCTGAGCCCTGGTAGTAAATATCCGGGAAACAAGTAGGCTCGTACATTTACGTAATTACATAATTCGATTAAGCGCTAACATTGGTTTACTTCCTAATGAGTTTGCTTCTTCTATGCCTACGCACGAAGCAAGCACACTTCCGAAAAGACGCAAATCCTGACAGAAACCAGAGGATGCGCCAAGCAAAATGGCAGAATGGTGGAGAATAGCGCCGCTAGTCTATAAGCAGTACCTAGGGGTCTTTAAGTACGCAGGCATGTGGATAAATCATATAATGTAGACGCTAATAACCAAAATATGTGTTAGCGCTGTTGTCCGAAAGTCATAACGACTGGCCGTCTAGGGAGTCAATAAGCCGAAGACACGTAAATTCTGCGGCATGATTTTTCTATTTCCACTCATTTTCTACCCAGTTGCTGAAGAATACGACCTGGTTGATGCTAAGTGCATATTCTTCTCTGTTTACTTGATTTTATTAAGCTAAATGTTTTTTATTACAATTGCGTCTGCGTTTGTCTGTAGCATAACAGTCATTGACATCCTTCAGTTACTTAAACGAGCGATCTCTCAAAAATAGATAGAGTATGATTATCTGAAATATTTCATACGTAAGGCCACGGTACCTTGTCTCATATTCCTTCGATGCAATGATCGTATCGTGACAGCCGTGCTTGGCTTTTTGTTCTCTTCTGTTGGTTGTGTTTAATTTTAAATAAAAGCACTTACAAAAAAGAGGAGCCGTGTCAAAACAGTGCACTGAGCCATCCTTATTACAAGGTAAAGCTTGTTAAACGTAGACTTTTCTACAAGAATTCTGCGTGGGAAATAAATAATTTTTGATTTCAAGTCATAAGAAATCTCAGCGTTTAGTTTGTGTCAACGTTCGAGATCAATATCTAAGAGTATTGCGCGTGTGAGTTAATGGTGGTCACCACAAACGGGGGGCAGATGTATTGCACAACCCGGATAGAACGCGCTCGTCTTACGTCTTTCTCACTTATCGACATTCGCCTATCTTTTCTTAGTCATGGGCATCTTGGTGAGTGATTGCACGAACCGTCATAACCCCGCACCAAGTTGTTGGCTTATGCTGCGTATGTGACAAGCCTGTGCGTCCCCTCTTTTAGTAGTCTGTTTTCGCATCTTTTGATTTTATTTCTTGTGCTGGACACTCGAAGTCTTTCCGTTTGGGCATCTTATGCGCCCTTTCAAACACCATTTTGCGCCCATGTTCTACGTGCCACGACGAGCAAAGTATCATGGTTGTCGTAGTTAACTTTGAATCATTTTTGATACAAGCTAAAACTACCCCGCCCCCTCTGCATGGTCACTTCGGCTTCTCTTCGCAGGTTAGAAGAAAATGCCTTGAACCCATCTTGTTGTCACTCCTGTTTGATGTTTTAAGTGCACGTCATGTGTAAAATTTCCCACATCAGTGGTGTTTGTTGAGTGACAAGCTGTATAGAGTCTTCTTAGTAGAAGCGACTATAGAGTCGTCCCTAACGGACCCTTTTTTATATTTTCAGGTCGCCTGCTCTTAATAATATGGTCGCCAGATGTCTGAAAAAGGATCCTAGCCTTAGACCCACCATGGCTCAACTGAAAACGGTAAATCTATGTATTCTGTCACTGACCTGTAACGATGCCTGCTGTTGCAGTACAAACTAATAGCTTTGCTCATTTTTTGCCCCTGCACCGATCACAACGCCGAAATGAGTGGATTAGTGAATAATAGATTTTACTGCCGTACGTGTTCCCCAGCCACTGATCGAAACCGTACGAGTTATAGCGGCACGAGTTATTTGTATTGCCACCGATTGCACTGGCCTTGTGGTAGTGATCTTCATCCATCTGACCGGATTACAAACCAGAACACAGATGTTCCGCTTTGCTGCGTCTGGGACCTCCGAGGACTGTCGCAGGAAGAAGGGAAACCACCAATGGGACGAGTTTTGTCATCAAGGCTGCTGGAACCGGAATGGATTTTTGACTCATTTCCCACCGTCAGCTAACTATGCCCCAACCTTACGCCAGATAAACCGGAATGTATCCATTCTATCTCGCTATTCATGTTGGTTGCCCCTTGTCCAGCCAAAGAAGTCGATCTTTTAGCCACAAGATATAACCTAACTGAATGTAATCTATTTGATTCATATGTTTTTATTGTTCATGATTGCTTACTATACTACTTTGCATAGTGTCCTGTTCCGGAAAAGAATCAAGTTCTTCGGAGGAGCACTTTATTCTTTTTATTACTCCCATATTCCAGCAGACATCTATTTTGATACTACCCAACTGAATTTCCTGTTATCAGCCCTCACGTTAGAAGTCTTCTTGTAGTTTGTATGTGAACGCGTAAGTTGGAGGAGAAAAGCTAGTTAACCAACAAAGTCTAAGCCATCCCTTTTTCACATATTCTTCTCTTAGGACCCATTCGTCGCCGGCGTTACGGAAGCCGACAGGTCCGTAATTAAACTCCTTCTTGGTGAACTGAACGCCGAAGTGGAAGAGACTGTTGAAGAGATTGCCCCCGAGGACTTGGTGAGTTATGGAACCATCCCCACTCTTGATATTTGGATTTTGTTCTATCCACTGTAACTTGCAAACATAAAGCATTTTTATTTACTCAAAAACTCCAGACGTCCCTCAGCCAGGCTTTTTCCAGTTAAAATCACTGCCGTATCGAAAAATATCGAAGCTGGTGTATCGTTCTCACCACGACGTAATTTCGCGTCCAATGTCCATAAAAAAACTCCAGATGAATTGCCGTTGTCTTTATTGGCCTCAGTTGCTCTGTGGGACAGGAGACAAACGGCAAAGACAGAGAACAACTTTGCCGCTAAGTCAACTTCTCAATCCTTCTGTCCGCAGCGCCGTATTTAAGCCTGAAGGCATCTCCCATAGGACAGTTCCTACGCACATTTCCGCCTGCTTCTTTATTAGTTTTCTCCTTTTGCATTCGTTCAGAATGGCTCTAAAGCCGCTCCCTCACAGGTAATCCTATTCGCGTTTACCTTGTTGGTATGGAGGTTTATTAGTGTTTTTGTTGTGGGTTGGTTTCCTTTTTGAAAGCCAAATTTTTTTCTAAACTTTTAGTGTGGTAATGGATGGCTATTCTCTTCATGTCTTTTCCCACCTGGATTTTTAAAGCTCTCGCGTTCTTTATTGCGGTCCCCGCCAGGGTAGTCTAGTTTGGCAAAATTAATTAGCTGCTCGGGGAGAGTGCACGGACGAACACTCTTTCCGACGCAAGTGCCGTTGAGCCAGATGGCCGAGCAATCCTCACGCCAACAGTCAACACTGGTGATGAAATTTCACCGACTTACGACTTGCATGCCGGCTATCAAACAATTAGTGCAGAAGTGGACAACTATCCTCGACGAAGGGGACTAGGGGCATGAAATCACATAGTGCGTTATAACGTGAACAAAAGGTTCCTGACTGTCAAGCTTGCCTTTGCACAAGGCTGGACCTGATAAGCCACCTATTTGCTCTTCGCGCTGCTCTTTATTTCGCTGATTAGCAACCTTTGCAAATTTGGTACCATACCGGCGTCAGCGTCAACCCTCCTTATTTCTCCAATGGTATTTGTCTGGTTGCGGTCTTGTTTACTTCTTAATATTCCGCCAGCCTGCACGATGCGTCGCTTGATGCCCTCACTTCCAACTTTTCGTTCTGTTTGGTGCAGAACATGTTGTTTCCGCAGATGGTGGAAACGGGGACATGTAGGAAACAAAAAGTATGTGAATCCCACCGTTTCGGCATGCATGCTTCCGGCAGTTAGTTGTGAACTACTGCTTAAACGAAGACTGCATACAATCCGCAATGCCTTTTCAACCGATATTGCGCGCGTGAGACCTCTAGCGTTTGTGGGCTCTCGCCTTGCGATAAGTATCGATTACCACCACGCAGCTACGCCCACGGGTCGATCCACCATGAGCTGCACAGGAAACACTCACTTTTTCTGTCGGTTGAGCACTTGTGCATCTACGTGTTTGTGTACTTCACAATTCCTGCCTCCTTGCGCAGTTTACGCCCACGAACTTCGAGTCTTGTGCACACATTAGGTCACCCGTTCCAACCTCCCTCTTGCTTATCAGTGCCTGATTCACATGTTCAGTCTTTCCCATACTTCTCCGTCTCTCCCCCTCCCCCCCTCCATTGATCTCCGTCTGCCGTTGTGAGATGAGTCAGTACGCTATCTTCTGCCACTCACATTTCCATTTTCACAGTAGCCCTATTAATTCCATGGTTTGCCAGACAAGCTCTCAGACGTTTTTCTAGGGAATTCATCTTGGCAAACACCTGTTTTCAGCAATTCGTCATCAGGCCAATCCCTGCAATTTTATTGGCCTGATGACGAATTGCTGAAAACACGTGTTTGCGAAGATGACTTCTTAATCGTAAAATGGCAATATTTGCATGTTGGATGTACTGCTAACTGCGTCCATCACAAATGACGGGAATCACCACTGGTGGTGATTTGCCCACGGATTAGTTTATAGTTATGTCGCCATGTATAGCATCTAACCCGCGTGATGCAGTAAAGGGAACTGGTGATGGACATGAAAACTGGGCGACAACGCCAAACACCCCATCTACTCGGTATACACACCTGGCTCCTATCTTCGCAGCTGCCATTAAGGCGCTGTTGCAGTCTGCCTCTCAGTTCTGAGTAGTAATGAGTTCGCCTGTCAGTTGGTGACCTTGATAGACAAAATTGTTAACACGTGATAACTTGCAGGCCTGTTCGGGTGCGTCTAGCGAGGAGAGTATATGCTGGGTCCGTGTTGGCTCAGCTTCATGCTGCTCTCTCCTAAGTAATTTAAGTCAAGTCTAGTGGGCACCGCGACTAGCAGGGTCTAGGGCCTTCATGTAACGTGTTAAACCCGGCTGTCTCGCCCCACTTAAGCCTGCTGTGACAACACAGCCTGATTTAGCGACCCATTTGTAGAAACTGCAATTTTTGCAACACTTACACCTCCATTCGACTGCCGAAATGTATAAGCTACTGAGGTGGGATTAGAGATTAACCTATGGGTGAGTGTAACCTTATATACTACAGCCGAATTAAGAGTTTGCGTTATTCGGAGTAGGGGACTGCTCAAAATTGGATCTTCTTTCCAATATCTTGTAAGTACTTCACTAAATAGACTATTTTCAAGTGACTACTGCGCGTTTCTCCACAGTAATGAAGTTCATGCGTCAAGCTCCTTTCTTATGTCCTTCCAAATGTCCTTGTATCTGCTCTGGTGATCTTTTCGTACCAGCCAAATGTCGTCGAGTCTAAGTGCGCAATTATTGACCTGTCTGTGGCTAGCTGCCTTTTTCGGTACTCTGGGTCCTGATCCACCACCTGTCCGTCAGTGCATTCAGATTTCGCATTTTACGAATGGATGCAAACGTTCGAGTTCCAGGTGCTTCTGAGAGTTAAAAGGAGGATTCGTCGAGCACCGGAAAATGGTTTATTATTTGGTGCTTTTTAAGTCTTGCAGGAGTTCATCGT